TAATTTTACTGTCATCATGGCATGTGTTTGTCGTTTTAAAGACGAATTACATGCTATGATTTTTTTCCTGACGGATATTCTCAAGTTAAAGTTGATTTCATGTAATCGAATGAACTATCTTATAAGTAAAGTCGTCCCAGGAGCGCAACTCAACAATATTGGCAATATTATTTTAAAGTCGTCTACTTTAAAATGCATAATGTATGTCTGAATTGTCAATATAAATGAGTCAGATAAAATTAAATTATTAGAAGAATTTTTCACTAAATAACAAAAAAACAAAATTTGTTTAATTTACTCTTTGTATTTTGAGAACTATTTTCGAAGTGGAAATTGAAACGTCAATAAACGTATTTTAACCTTTAATTGTGGCTTATTCCCAGTTAAATAGTAATTAATCGATTATAAAATTTAGTATTAATTCTTTTTTAGGATATTGAAGATTTTAAGAAATTATTAAACTATTTTAACAGCAAAATATCTCCATCAGTTTGTCTGCTAACAATAATGGATGCAAGTTTTGCTCTTTCGGGAACTCTGTGGATGGTTCGCTTTTACCAAAATCATAAAAATGAAATGGATTTATACAGTTTTAGTTTGGTTAATATATTTAATGTAATATTATGGGCTCTAATTGCTTTAGCACCATTTGTCCAGGTAAATAAGTTTCACAATTATTTTTTTCTCCGTTTTGGATTACTACCATAATTATATTGAATCTGCCTTATTTTTATAGTGTGTATACTTAAAGTATCATTCACTCTCGCATATACACCAAATTAGAAAACGCCTAAATAAAGTTCAATTTGGTTCAGACCAGGGTTCGGAATGAGGGAACAAAGTAGCATATCGGAAACTAATCGATAACCTAAAAACATCAGGAACCGATGCTAAAGATATAAGACTAATCTCAAACTTATATCTCCAACAAAAAGCAATAGAGCGATTTGAATTTGAACTGACCGAGATCTTCATAGTTGGAAAAGAAGTTCGACAGAGATGGATTCTTTCATCAGCACTGTTTAACATATAATCTGAAAACATCTTATGGTCAACTTCTAGACAATATTAGATATGCATATCATACAATATAGTGTTGTTGGCAGCTAGTCCGCACGGGCTCAAAATTCTGATGGACAAAATTATATGAAGAATGGAATAAATATTGATATAATTTGTTTATCCATCGAAGGCAAATGTCAATTACTTGTTTAGCTTTGCATTAAGGTGATTTAAAGTGGTTAGATTAATTGATGGCGGTGACCACTATGGCGTACAAGTGAATCATTAGGGCGCAGGTGCATCGTCAATAAGATCAGCGCAGATGTCAATTTTGAGACACTTCATTGTTTGTAATATATGTCTTGTTTGTTTTATAATAATTCAATGTTGTCAACAATTTATTTGATACGGTTTATTTTTTAGGCAGCAAGATTAACAAACGCGTGTGAGGTACTAAAAACTGTAGGTCAAGAAGTAAGAGCACGACCATACGTTCATTCTGATACGCCAACTATGGAATTGGACTCTGTATTGCTCTATACAACCAGTTTAAAAATAAATGCACAACTTTTTAACATACCGGTTACAGGAAAAACGCTATTTTTTGGTCTAACCATAGGAGCAGTATTTATATTGACGTTCGGTCAATTGTGTTATTTTATTACAAAGTAATAATGTACAAAATCGTGTTATGTTTTTTATTTATTAAAGTATCTAGATACAAAATAGTATTTTTTTTTCTATAGAGCAGAGAGTATTCCTTCCATACGCAAACATATATATATATATATATATATATATAATATATATATATATATATATATATATATATATATATATAGTTTTGAGTTTCTTGAACCGTATTATATTTAATATAAAATTAGTGTTTCTTGGGTTTTGGTTCAATAAAATATATATTACATGTGGAACTAGATTTTATTTTCCATAGCAATCAACGTTTCGACAGGAAACCCTTGCCTTTATCAAGATTCTAAAATGTACATGTATAAGAACAAACAGATATTGTAAAATACATGTATATATGACTTACCAAAACGTAAAACGGGACACAGACATTAATGAACTAACATATAAAAGTTGATATCTAATATCTGAGGTTTACTGTCATTAGAATATAATTATTTTTATATGGGCGTATCATTGATGTTTCCGAAAAAGGTAAAGTGGATATATATTATGAAGAGTTTTTTATGGTGTTATATTTATTATTATTTAAATCAGATTAAAATATATTTTATTTAGGTTTTGTGTATCTTTTTCGTCATGTATTGCGTTGGTATTTCTTTTTATTTCTATTGATTCGTATATCTCTCTCTTCATTTTGTTTTGTTATGTTTTTAAAATTTTGATGTTTTCAAAATCAAATTTATGCTTCTTCTCACTTTCACGTTTTGTTAGCGCAGTGGCGTTGTTCTTGTCATATTTGTGAGAACGAATTCTGGATTGAAGCAGTTGACTGGTTTGACCGATATAGACACCTTCACAGTTAATAAATGGTATCTCGTAAACATGTGATTTTTTAAGATTTGTGAAATATTTATTTAAAAGGTTGTTGCCTTTGTGAGTCAGTGTTATATTATGTTTGGCTAAAAGATTTGTTAGTTGTTCGGATAAACCTTTTATATATGGAAGAGTTGTATAAGTAGTTTTGATACTGTTGGGTTTGTTGTTATTTGCATTGTTATAAAATTTATTGAATCTTGATTTGAAAATATTTTTGATTAGATGTTCGGAATATGCATTCTTTACAAGGACATGTTTTGCTTTTTTTATTGGAGTTGGTCTGTATTCTGGATGTTGTTAGTTGTATAGATTTATCAGCGAGACTTATAATTACAGACTTCTTATGGGAAAATAGATGATGAGAATGGTAGTTAAGACATCGTGAAGACCATGTTTCTTTTGTAAACCACATGGTTTTAACTGTATTGTTAATGCGATGTAAGGTGATATTCAGAAAATTTATTTTATTTTGTTCAATTTCTATAGTGAAATTTAATTTTGGATGGTAACTGTTGAAAATATCTAAAATTTCGGTTGTTTTATTTGTTGGAATAGCACAGATAAAGTCATCGATATAGCAGTAGAAGAATGGTACATTAAAATCTAAAAGGCTCATGACAGATTCTTCTAAGTCTTCCAGAACCAGTTGGGCAGTGACACTAGAAATACTTGCACCCATTGCACATCCATCCATTTGTTGGTATATTTCGTCCTTATATAAAAAGTATGTTGAGTTTAACGTTAACTCTACAGATGATTGGAATTGTTGAAACGGGATGTTAGTGTACTCTTGTATGTCATTCCACTTCTTTTTAATGATGTCATATATATATATATATATATATATATATATATATATATATATATATATATATATATGTATATATATATATATATATATATATATATATATATATATATATATGTATATATATATATATATATATATATATATATATATATATATATATATATATATATATACGATCTATGCTGGGAGTGTCGTTGCGGGACCGAATAAGAAACGAAGATCTGCATGAAGAAACGAAGCGAGAATGCATGACTCACGATGGACGAGTAAAATTACACATTGGAAACCAAGAGTAGACAAACGTAGTAGAGAAAGACCACCTACACGTTATGCTAACGACACCAGGCGTATCACGAAAAATTGGCAACAAAGAGCACAAAATCGCAGTGAATGGAGGGGTTTAAGGGAGGCCTATGTTCAGCAGTGGACGTGATAAATAAAACCTGGATGATGGAACACAGATAGGACCATACTCTAAAAATATTTTCAAATATAGGGCCACCCATATTGACGGGGTAAAATAAACATCTTTTCTCTATATTTTTACATTTTTGGACTTTTCTCGATGTTCTCGTTGTTTCAGTTTACGGTTTGCCAGTGTTATGCGAAGTAACTTAAGAGATAATTAGTTTTTTATTAAATTAGTGGCAAAATTACCACCCTGTAGATGGTAGAGATTTGATATCAAAAAATATATTTATGTTCAAAAGATTTTTAATATAGTCTATTGTCTAAAATTATTGTGAGTGTCAGCTATCTCTTCCAACTTCACTTTGCGGTCTTCCATAATAATTTTCAACCTTTTTTGATATTTTCGAAAATAACTGAATTATTTGGATCCGTAAAATAGTTTCGAAACACAATTCAGATTTCTGCTTATAATCTGAGCCTTCTAAAAATTGCAAGGCAAACAGACGTTGATAAAAGATGTTAAAAGGGACATGGGGAATCTAAAATTTGCATTCCAGAACATGTCTTTACAACTAAGCAGAAATCCTTAGCGAATTGTGTTTCTCGTACTCACACAGAGTATATCCGAATAAAATGAAAAAGACAGCAAATATTTGATTTCACGCAAACAGCGCCTATGTATCTGTTGATACGTATTTCGACCTAATAGGTCTCATCAGAACAGTTATTCATAGGTGTTCTCAACGTGAAAAATCAATATTTTCTGTCTTTTTCTGGTTCCCTTTAAAATATGGCGGAACGTCTGCGTGAACGAGATGCGCGTACTTAATTTTCCATGGAAAGTGGGTATTCTGATTGTTTATTATTATGTGCTTTAACTAATATTGGTTTACAAATGTCACATCGTCTGTCAAACTTGTTTTAATCAAAAATGAATTAATTCCAGTGGCCCAATCACAAATTTAATTTGGAGAATTATATTCGTACAGGAATGTGTAAGTGCTTATTTTCCCTATGTCAAGAAACTATGTTATTTGAATACTGTCCGAAAATTGGGAACAAACATTTTAGCCCCTAAATATATAAATTGTCTGTAAAATATACAAATATACCTTTTATTTAATAAAAAGTAGTTTAAGGAAACAAATTATTATTCATAAACATTAACATTATAAAAATATATTTACACTAGAAACAGTAATTAGAAAGTAAAAAATTAACAATATTTTCAACGTATATAACTTCTAGCTATAAAATTATACAAAATATTTATTACTAACTACTTATTTCTGAAAAAAGTTTACACCTTTTAATTCTGGAGGCATAAAAGTGTAACTTGCACCTTCTTGAAGCTTGCCATAACCTAAAATTACAATAAATAAATAAACACCAAGAACACTGGTATAAAACAAACGAAAATTATATTGTTTATTAATCAAATAATAAAACATATTTAGACAAGAGTAAAATCAAGGAAGAAGGAAATAGACCGCTACCAAATCAGAGTAACAGAAAATATTGTAACAGCAGCAGAAGATGAAATAAGAATAGAAATTATGCCCGGAAAAATCAAGAAGATGAAGCCTACAGAAAAATGAGGCGAGCTAGTACCACAGTAGTGAACTAGCAAACAGAGAGAATAGAAAAAGAGAAGATACACAACAAATAATCGAGATAACTTAAATCAAGAACTTGAAAATATAGAAAATCTTACCAGAGAAAAAAATTCAACATGACGTGGTTTACATCAATGAAAAAGAATTCATTATAATGAAGCAGCAAAGCAGGATCGTGAACGAGGAGCGCTTAACTGTAATAAATCATCAATGGCGTTACAACTCTTCATGAGTCTGTGTCGCGTTTACTATTGCCTTCCATTCTTGTCGGCCCTATGCCATCTTGTGCCACTATTTCCCATTCTCTCCTCTCATATTCTCCAGATCCTCTCTGACTCCATCTTTCCACTTTTTTTAGGCCCTCCTACAGATCTTCTCCCATCTGGTATTTCCGACAAGAGATTGCTTATAAGGCGCAACTGGAGTGATCGATGTATTCAATGGATGGGAGGTACATTTTAGTGGGGAACTTAATATAGAGAAAGAAGAAAATCTTGAAGGTGAAAAGGGCACGGTAAGCGAAACAGATAATAGGGAAAAGGAACCACTAAAGATTCTTGGGTATTTGGTTAAAATAAAAGATAAAAATCTGACCAGAAAAAAATCACTTAGAATAGATAATATCCTGCTGGAACCATGTAACGGTGGCGATCAGGATATAAAAATGGAACTTGTACAACTTATAAATAAAATATAGAAACAGAAAACGCTGCCTAGTAATAGGAAAATCGGAACACTCTACACTGTATACATAAAAGGACAATACAGCATATAAAATATCCTCCACTATACTATGCCACTGTATGACATAAAGAAAGAAAGAATAGATTGATATAAGGTTGAATGCTCGAATAAATGAACTTTGATCAAATGAAAGGCAGCTATCGAGCACAGTTTTATTAATTAAATCCTGCCCAAGTACTTTTGCTTTCTAGAGCATTTTCAGGGGCATCTGAAATAAGCCAAGAAACGTTTTTTTAAATGAAGAAATTAATTAACTTCGATAAAAAACTCGAAGTTAATGGATGATAAAAGTTATTCAATACATAAAGAAAGTAGAATCTTTCCTTTCAGATAACAATTTTGTAGTTTTGGAAAAAATCCACCTTGGAAAAAAATCCACTTAACACCTTTATTAATAAAACAAAAGAATGGTTAAATTGTTTATTGATACTTATACTAAGTATAACAACAGACAGTTAACTGTATCTAATCCTATAATACCTAGGTTATATGGACTTCCTAAAATCCATAAACACAATTGTCCCATAAGGCCTGTTGTAAGTTTTTGTAACACTCCAGTTTATATATTGTCAGAGTTTGTTTACAACACAATTCAGTCTATCACTAATTTTAAACCTAAGTTTCCATTACAAATTCTTTAGATCTAATAGAACGTTTAAATAACATTCAAATAGAAGAGGGTTTTTTATTTAGTTTCTTTTGATGTTTCCAATTTGTTTACTTCTGTACCAAGAGATGAAACATTACCTTTAGTACACAACCTTCTAAACAATTGCAACATACCAGCAAAAGACAAAGATGCTATCTTAACTATGCTTAAATTATGTCTTGATCAGAACTTCTTCCAATTTAATCAAAAAATATATACCAACCAACAACCTTTTCTAGCTGATATTTTCTTAGATAGCTTAGAACAGAAATTTGTTAACAACAACAGCAAAATAGTTTTTTGGTCAAGATATCTGATGATTGTATAGCTCTCATACAGGGAACCCAAGATGACTCTTTACAGATTCTGGATGATCTTAATAACCTCCATCCTAACATCTCTTTTACATTGGAACCAGAATCTGACAATAAGTTGAACTTCTTGGATATGACTATATCTCGTAATAAAAAAGCTTCTAAATAGAGCTAAACTCAAAATTGCAAAACAGCTTGCATATTCATCACAATGTTTTCTTCAACCTAATGCTTCAAATAACATCAGATATTTCTCCTTTACTTAAATTAGAAAGTTATCTACTAGTATTTCAGAACCTTTGAAAAGACCAAACTCTTCAAGTTTTGGTCAACACTTATTATCCAGTAAACACAATTTTAACATCAATACTGTTTCGTCTATTTTACATGACATTAGTAGAAAGAAAAACTATTTAGAGTTAGATTTATTGGAAGATTTCGAGATCACAAAGGAAAGAAATGGAAACTCTTACTGCCTTAATACTCAAATTAATTTAAATTGTACTAAATTTAAACTTATTTTTAAAAACTTTAATACAGCTTTACCTCGTAATGGACCCAGCTCGGCTGTTTAGGCCTCCTTCACTGAGTATACCCATTAATAATTCATTAATTTCATACTTTGATCAATATTACTATTTTATTCTTCAATAATTTACAAAACTAGCTTGCTCAGGTTTATTTGATCTATAGTTCGCGTTGATTGAACTCCCCATATTTCTGTGTAATTTAGATATACCGTCTCCACAGTTGTATATTTCAACATCTCCCACTGTTGGTCAGTTGGTCTTGAGTAACGCTTTTACATATTAATTTTATAGTTCTCCCATTGACTGGGGGTTTAACTGAACTATTTTATACACTGCTTTCAATTTTGGTTTTTTAATTTTTAGTATTTTAATTTCATAGTCAGATTTCTTCTTTTCTACAGTATTGATAGTGCCTGGTAGACCCTTTTATTGTAGTCAACCACCCACTGTCAATAGATTGTTAAGTCTATTTCTTGCATTCATACCTTACGTCAATTTTAGTTGCTCTCAAACTAACACCCTAATTATTATAGACAGATTTAAGTGTAAGATCTGGATTTTGCAATCTAAAATATTCTGTATGTCATATTTCATCAGTTGATTTCCTATAGTGGTGTCAGTTGGACCTTTGGTCAATGCCTAGTTACATAGAATTTTGAAATGTGCAGATCACATCTCCATGATTGTGACTGCCCATCCAAGCTGTCATATGTCACACGTCACCTTAACATTTCCGTTAATACCGGGAGCCATTCTTTCTCCTGTTGCCGACCAGAATGTAGCTTCGCCTATGTTTTAAATAATTTTAAACCGTTTGTCCTTGTTTAGTGTAGTGTTATGTACAATTTAATGTTTATGACATTCTGTGATTAATGGATAGCCCAAAATTGACAAAGTAAGTATAAAACGTTAATCAAAAAAAAAAAATTATCATGCATTAACTTCGAGTTTTTTATTGAAGTTAATTAATTTATTCATTTAAAAAAACGTTTCTTGGCTTATTTCAGATGCCCCTGAAGATACTCTAGGAATCGAAAGTATAATAAAACTGTGCTCGATCTGCCTTTCATTTGATCAAAAAAAAAGAAAGAATAACTTTATTAAGACATACCAGGTTGGTTTCATCCATGCAGGTCTGTGACTGTGCGAAGGGAGTACAACTCCATACAGGAAGACAGAATCAGTGAGAAAGAAGAACTCATAGACTGGCGGAACATGACAGTGTCAGATTAGTATGGGTGCCAGGTCTTCGAGGAATGCACGGCAACGAAAGAGCTTATAAAGATTATAGAAAAGGATTTGTTACAAAATATTTCAGTATAAATGTGGCCTGAAAAATTCCTAAAAGCACTATCCGCGACCGGTAAAAAGCATGGATATGAACATAACATAACTTCCACTGGGAAAGAATATCGCATATTACAATCATAAAATATTTCACTAATTGACATGCGAACTTCAAGGGACACCTGAATAAAATAAGGTTGTTTCATAAATATTAAAACTGCAGACTCGGTGGTAGAAAAAAGGATATTTTGCGTAACTGCGAAGCTTACAGGGTTTCATAATGCTGGAATGGGTATCACGCATTCATGAAAACTTGACACACGTACATACAACACAAAATTCGCATGCATGGACCCACAACTACACCATACTTAATCGACAAATTATCAGACAGTCACAGCACAACTGCCTCATCATAAGGTAAAATTTGTGCTGCCACTACTGCGCTGTCCAATCTCAAGGTATAGAACCATTGTCCCCCGAAGAGAGAAGCTGAATAACAAGCAATAACAAGCTTAACGAAGCTTCACCAACAAGCAGGCTTATTTGTAACACGAACGATGTCGACTACCCCATCTGCCTTCATGGAGATCATGACCTTGATACTTGACCTCCCTCCGATACATATGTAGATGGTGGAGGCGAAGGTAGGAGTATACAGAAGGAGGATCAGACACCAGGAGCGGGACAAAAGAATATCGGGATTAAATCTGAGGAGTATACAGAATGCGGATCAGACGCCAGGAAGTGGGGCGAAAGGATATCGGGATTAAATCTGAAGAGATAGTAAAAAATCATCCAGAGTTGGAAATGGTACCAGATGCGATGCAAAATAAAAATAATTTCGAAAAGCCGTTTACCGTGACGGAGTTGGAGCTGGAATATACAGAGGGAAACCAAGGCTAAGTCTTAGTGAAAGTCTAGGTAATCACTCTACTATCTTCCAAGCAGAAATTTATGCTATAGAGATGTACCTGCAGGAACTAATAAACAGGAACTGCAGGCACAGATCTATAAAACCTATATCTGACAGCCAGGCGGCATTTAAGGCACTGTAGTCGAATCAAATTAAGTCCAAGCTGATTCGGAACTATCTTCAGAATCCATCAGTATGTGTGTACATGCTGGTATAGAAGGAAACGAAAAAGCTGACCTACTTGCCAGGAAAGGGGTAAAAAAATATTCACAGGCATAAAAACTTTCGTTGCTATAGCAAGAAGCACAACTAAAGAACAATATCGGTCTGGGTGGAACGGATCAAGCGTAACCACTGGTACGAACAAACGGATCTCAAACATTCGAAGGCTTTTATACACGAACTTTCAAAGAAAAAATCCAAAGATCTACTAGATATGGATAGAAATGATCTGTGAGTTATCGTAGGTCTCCTAACAGAACACTGTCGTCTTAAGAGGAACATTAACAAAATTGGACGGACAGAAAGTGCGAATTGCAGAATCTCTCAGACTGCTGTGATAAGAGACTTTGTTAAAAAGGCTAAGCTGAATGGACACCTTTAAGCTAGAAATAAGGCACAATAGACCTCTTAGCTAGAGTGGAAAGGTAGATAAGCACCCACTCATATTAAACTTAACCTAACCTAATCTTCGTCACCGTGAAATGTATGACGCAGAAGGAAAAGTGTTGCCTAAGCGATGTCAGAGAACTGACGAACTCTCGAAGTATTTATTGAATTCGTACGATATAAGACCATTTTGTCCCAACTCGTGAAAATATAAAAGGCAATGAAGATATTTACCGCTAACTGGTTAGCGTAAGCTAGAATTAGTAGTAACAAAGTACTTTCATTAAAAACTATGTTCTCGAATTTATTCTTGGCCATATAAGCTGTATAAATTACTCTCACGTTTACTTTATCTAAATTTGGTTTGTTGGTTTGTGTATTGGGTAATGAAATATCACATCAGTTACCAATTTCTCTTTAGTATGAAAAATACCAACTTCTTCTTCTTTAAGTTCCATCTTCTATCGAAGGTTGGAAATCATCATGGCTATGCGGACTCTGTTGACTGCCGCTCTAAAAAGTTCTGCACTACTGCATTCAAACCATTCCCTCAAGTTCTTAAGCCAAGATATTCTTCGTCTTCCCACATTTCGCTTTCCTCGGATTTTGCCCTGCATAATAAGTTGTAATAATGCGTATTTTTGCCCTCTCATCACATGTCCCAAGTACTCAAGTTTTCGTCTTTTAATAGTTAATATTATTTCCGCCTCATTTCCTATCCTTCTAGTTGATGATTCCATGTTTGACATTCTTTGAGTCCATGATATTCGTAGGATTCTTCTGTAACACCAAAATTCAAAGGCGGCCAACTTATTCAGATGAACTTGTTTTAGTGTCCAAGCTTCCAGACCATAAAGAAGAGTAGAGAACACGTAACATCGAAACATTCTCAGGCGTAGTTCTAACCTTATATCCCGACAACAAAGAAACTTTTTAAGTTTAATAAATGATGTACGTGCTATTTCAATACGTGTCTTAATTTCTTTGGTTTGGTCTACATCTGATGTTATCCATGTTCCTAAGTATTTATAGTTATTAACACTCTCAATTGCAGTATCTTCAATAGTCAATTGGATATTTGCATGTGCAGATTTAGTCATGATCATGCATTTAGTTTTCTTTATCTTCATTCCGTACTCATGACAGCGTTCATTAAGGCGTTGCATTACGTTCTGTAAATCATTGTTGTTATCCGTAATTATTACTGTATCGTCTGCAAAACGTAAGTTATTCAAAACTTCTCCATTGATAGATACACCTTCTATTGAGTCTGAGAGCGCTTCTTGAAATACCGCTTCACTGTAGACATTGAAAAGTAGTGGGGACAGTACGCAACCCTAGCGGACTCCTCTCTGTATTTTGATATTTTCGGTGTACTGGCTGTCAACTCTTACCTTGGCAGTTTGATTCCAATATAAATTAGATATAATTTTCAGATCACGACTGTCAATATTTTTGCTTTTTAATATATCTACAAGCTTTTTATGTTGAACTTTATCAAATGCCTTTTGAAAGTCTACAAAACATAAGTACATATCCTGATTCATGTCCATGCATCTCTGAGCCAGCACATTCAAGCCGAACAAAGCATCTCTTGTACTCATACCATTTCTAAAGCCAAATTGTGTGTCACTAATCTCATATTCAAGAGTTTTAACAATTCTGCTGTGAATTATTTTCAAAAATGTTTTAAGTGTGTGACTCATTAAAGCTATTGTTCTGTGGTCTGAGCAAGTTGTTGAACTTGGTTTTTTGGGAATTGCTACAAAGGTTGATTGCAGCCATTGTCTGGGGATTGTGGCAGTCTGATATATTAGATTAAAGAGTTCAACCATTATATCAATAACATCTTCATCGATGAGTTTTAATAATTCGATGGGCACCTCATCTGGTCCAGTGGCTTTACCCTCTTTTGTGTTTTTGATGGCATAGATGACTTCTTCTCTTAATATTGGTGGTCCAGTATCTTCGGTGATTTCTAATGACAGTTCTTCTCTTTCATCATTAAATAGTTGTTGAATGTAATTGGTCCAGTGACATAATCTCTCCTTCATATCAGTAATAATATTCCCTTTATCATTTTTAAGGATATTCGTTTTTGTACGCTTTCTAGAACCTGTCATTTCTTTGATTTTTTTGTGTAAATTAAAGCTATCGTACTTTTTATCCAGATCTTCTATTTCCTTGCATCTATCGGAGAGCCACCTCTCTTTTGCCTCTCGAATTTTCTTTCTGATGTTTCTCTGAATTTCTTTGTATTTATTCAGGTCTTTTGCTTTATGTTTTCTTCGTTCTTCCATGAGTTCAAGAATTTCTACTGTCATCCAAGGTTTTGTTTTTTCTTTAAGTGGTTTGAGGGTTTCTTCTCCAACTGGCACAAGGGCATGTTGAATTTTTCTCCATTTTTGGTCAACAGTTAGAGTTTCTGCATTATCTTCTTTGACTTTCCTTAAGCTCTCGTTTATTTTAAATTTGGTTTCCACATATGTGTTGTCTTGTTTGAGACGTCTTGTATCTATGATTTTATTGGTGCTAGGGCTGTTGACCTTCTTTAGTTTCACTCTCATCGACAAAACAACCGGGTTGTGGTCGGAGGATATGTCCGCTCCTGGATAAGTTTTAGATGATATTATAGAATTTCTATATCTTCTGTTGACGATAATATAATCTATTTGATTTCTGATTTGATTTTGTTGTTATTGTCAGCTGGTGACCTCCATGTATATAGTCTACGTTTAGGAAGTTTGAACAAGGTATTTGTAATTATGAGTTCCTCATTGACACAGAAATCGACAAGCCTATCGCCACGTTCATTCCTTTCCCCGAGTCCATATCGCCCCACGCAATTCTCCACTTCTCCTTGGCCAACTTTAGCGTTCAAATCGCCCATTATAATATTTATATCTTGTCTTTTAGTTAGTCTTAAGACATTGTCGATTTGTTCATAGAAGGCCTCTATGGTGTCTTCATCCTTATCTGCAGTGGGTGCATATACTTGGATTATATTTATTTTACGTTTTAAATGAGAGTTTAGAGACAGCATTAATACCCGATCAGAGTAGGGAACAAAGTTACAGACAGCTTTATGAGAATTCTTATCAACTATAATGCCAACTCCCCGTTTGTGCTTGGAATCGTTGTTTCCAGAATAATACATCATTCCATTTCTGGTCTTACATTTTCCTGATTCAGGCCATTGTATATCGCTAAGGCCCAGTATATTAATTTTCATTCTGCACATTTCCGACACAGCATTATCCAGTTTGCCTGATTGGGCAAAAATACCAACATGGACGGATTATTTTTAGCAGGTGCACTATCCAAGAGCAGGTGCATCGCGAAATAAAAATGCCATTAGATGCCTCGATTTCAAGAAATTTCAAATATAACAACAAAACATCGGATCCTTATATTATTTTCGCCAGGACGTACCATGTGTCATGAGTTAAAATCGTCAGAAAATCCAGTAAAGTGCACAAACTGTTTTCAAAGTTGATTTGAGCGAATGCAAAGTGCATTAATCGTCGCGTCGTGGAGAGTACTTAAAACGCAATGAAATCTTTAAATGATATCAAAAGTTTATTCTAGCTATATATACAAAATATAAATACACCCTTCGTAGACATCCAAAAGCTATTACTGTACCGAATACAATTGGAAAAGTAAATCTAATCGTACTTTATGACCGCCGATCATTGTTATATCGATCATAGCTACAATGTTCTATATGCTCATCATCCATTAAGTACTACAACCAGTAGACATTTCTATTATAAAGAAACTTACCCAAGTTTTTCATGAGCTTGGTAGGCGCATTCCTTATGTGCATAGGCACAGCAGGTTGAGGACCTTTGTGATTTACTATTGAACTTTTGGCTTTTGCCAAAGCTGTGTCGGCCTCTCTAGACTTTGGAGCTCTAGCCAAATAAATTGCACACTGTGCCAGAAGGACATCGGCTTCGGGCATTCCCAAGAGTTGGCAACCTTGCATTGTAGCTACAGCTAGCGGTAATGCGGCAGGATCAGCGTTACCTACAAAGGAAATATATATGTATTATAAGTAAACACACACAACGAATGAAACAAAGATACAACAAATCTAGTTCTCAAGTCTACTAAAATATTTCGCAAAACTATAAATATCTTTATATCTTTAAATGAATATTCTAGATATTATATTTTGTTCTAAGTTTAGAACGTGGAATGTTCCTGTGATGGGAACATTTTAGTACTAAAAGAATATAAATTAAATATGTGCAATACTCTTCTCTCATGAAATTTTATCACTCTCCTACTTATTCACCAATACAATAATACTAAATTACGATTATAACTAAAATATTCTAATGATAAAAGTTATCAAAGACGGACTAATTTGGCCCAATTTACCTTGTAATATGCAAAGGTAAATTATATATCTTACCTATATCTTCACTTGCAGCTCTAACAAGTCTTCTAGCTATGAACCTAGGATCTTCTCCACTTACTATCATCCTTGTGGTCCAGTAAAGTGCAGCATTTTCATCAGAACCCCTAATTGATTTATGCATTGCAGATATCAAGTTGTAGTGTTCCTCACCCTTTCTGTCATATAACATATGAGATTTCTAAAAATATATTAAAATATTTACATTAAAATTAAGAAAAATCGACGGTAATATATTAGATTTTTTAAAAATTGTCATTTTAATAATATTTAGCAATTCGTGAATCCGATGAAAATTGTGAAACACAGGGATCAAAAAATCAGGAATTCTAGAAGAGACAACTAAATTCAGCGAATGCTAAAAGTTGCGATATCAGCGGCACCACATCAAAACTAGTAAAAAATTGTAAGGATCTCCTTAATAAACTGGAACAGAATATAGTATTTCTGACATGGGTGCCGGAGCATAAGCTGTCCAAGATCTAGTATGGTCTAGTCCACAGGTACAAACTAAGGGTCGCTGGCACAACTTCTAGAAAAAATTTTGAGTACACAGAACCATTGTGTGGCAACAACAAAGATACCGTTACAGAAGCAAATCAAAAGTGGGTGGAAAAAAGCCATAATACCAAATGAAGTGCTCTACAGAGACAAACCCATATAAAAAAAAATCATAAACAACTTTGACTGCTTTAGATCTGCTATCAAACAGATTTTAGCAAATGCGAGCTAAATACTTACAGAGATGACTAGGCATTGTCAACTAATAAACCACTCCTACAATATGTAGAGTCAATGAACCACGATGCAGAAAATATGAAATGAAGGCAGAAACTTTCAATACGTTCTAGGTCTCAGGAAAAGAAGTGATAATGAAATTTACAAAAATAAAAAAAAAATGGAAAAATCGCAATTTTTATTTCAATTTTAAATTTTAAATGACATTATGTTTTAAAGGAGGGAGATCAACAACCTTTTTTAACTCTTAAGCCTATACCAATATATTTCAAACTTAACAAAATTTGAAGGTTTGCAACCAACAAATATTACTATCTATCTATTTATAGTCTAGAATCTATTCACATGCTAAATATAGCTTCATGAAAAGAACCACATGCTCCATAATCTTCTATGGTAAGGCCTAGATTCTTATTTCTAGAGTGTGTACGATATGTTTTCTGAGACTACACAGTTATGTGATGTACATATGTTTTTTTTCCAACTGGTGTAACTTTGTGAAAGCTCTGTATGTCTCTCTGCTTTGCTTCCTTCAATACGATTAGATATCAGGTGAGACGAATAATCTCATCTGACTTATCATCTATTACAGGTAGTTTCAGAAAAGTAATGTATCTATTATAAATGCGACACTATTGTAATAAAACTGATTTATTACAATACTCTAAGAACAGAATTATATCCACCTTTAGTATTAATGGAAACAAACTGGGCGTTAGTATCAAGAATTTAAAAATGGCCAAGAACAAATAGGAAAATAAAAAAATAAGAAATATATATTTTGGACTAATATTGATTATTATTCATTTTCTAGTAAAAAAAGTTAAAAGTGTATAGTTAAAATTAATGGAACATATTCCCAATCATTTTCATTATAACAAGGAGTTTCACAGGGTTCACTGCTGTCTCCTCTATTGTATAATCTACCAACCAATAGTAATTTATTACAATTTGTGGATGATGGACGGTGATATCGTTTGGCAACAATTTCTTCTTCTTTTTTTATGTAGACATGAATATGTCTGTTTTCAATGTGCCTCCAGTAAGATGTCGTTACATCGTTTTCGTGGTATTCCTACTGATCGTCTTCCTATTCGGGAACCGTGTCTGGTCGTCTTTACTACTCTATTTGTTGCAATTTGGCTTATATGATCGTTCCATTATACTCTTATATTTCTTACCCAGTTCTTGATGTTCTCCACCTTGCGTCTACGTCGTAGAGTACTTCTAGCTCTGCCCCATAGTGTTTAACCATCAATTTTTCTAAGTGTTTTCATCTCTGCTGTTCCTAACATTCTTTTTGTACTCTCTGTTAGGTCGCGTTTCTGCCGCGTATGTCATTATTGGTCTCATGACTGTTTTGTAAATTCTTCCTTTTTCTTTCCCGATATTTTTATTTCTCCATATTGTTTCATTTAGGCAACCTGCGGCTATGTTTGCTCTATTCACTTGATATTCCACTTCTGTTTCAAGCTTTCCGTAGCTAGATAATGTGATGCCTAGATATTTAAACTCCATCACTTTGAGAGAGTAGTATTGCGTTGTCTGCATAGCATATTATTTTAAGTTGTTTTTCTCCCATTTGGTATCCTTTTTTAGTTCTTACTTTTTTATTATTTCATCCATATTCAGGTTGAACAATAGAGGACTCAGAAAATCTCCCTGTCTTATCCCATTGCCGACTTCAATAGGGTCAGTTAGTTCTTCTTCTACTTTTATTGTAGTTTTGGTAGATATTTTCGATCGTTTTGATTATTCCTAGAGGTATCTCTCTTGCGTACAATAACTATATAACATCCTTTAATTTGACCCAGTCAAATGCCTTCTTAAGGTCCACGAAACATAGATATGCCGGTCTGTTGCATGATTGTTGTAATGATTTCTCTTACACTTGCCTCATTATAAATATAGTGTCGGTGCATGATCTTGCCGGCGAAAAAACCTTGTTCTTCTGCTAGTGTTATAATTTCATTCAGTTTATTTCTTATCACTTTGGTTGTTAATTTTAGCGTTGTGTTTATTAAATTAATTTCTCTGTAATTTTTCGGGTTCGATTTTTCTCCTTTTTTGAAAAGAGGTATTAGGATGCTTGATCTCCATTATTGAGGAGAACTGTTTTTAGCCACAAGACCAGAAGAAAAACCACAAAAACCAAAATAAAAAAGCATTTACACAGTGGTGTATACAAATTTAAATGTGCCGACTGCCCAAAAACTTACATCGGTCAAACTGGTAGAACTTTTAACAAACGTATAGCAGAACATAAAAAAACCACAAAAACCAAAATAAAAAGCATTTACACAGTGGTGTATACAAATTTAAATGTGCCGACTGCCCAAAAACTTACATCGGTCAAACTGGTAGAACTTTTAACAAACGTATAGCAGAACATAAAAGGGCTTTCAATAATAGAAAAAACAGATTCTACATACGCACTTCACCTTTTAGATCATAATCATTCTTTTAATAACGAATTTCAAATTCTTCACATCCAAAAAATACAGACATAATTCAAAAATAGATAATTTGAAAAAAGCACTCTGCCGAAACAACTGTAGTGATGAGATATTATAATAAATTTTGTGGAAGTATTGAAAACAAAATTTTCAGTGTTTTATTATGTTAAAATTTAACTAAAAACGCAAAATAAAACCACGTACCAGAAAAGAAGAAATTATGGAAAGAATAACTACAAGACAAAACTCAACAAAAATATGAAACATAAAATACAGAAAATAAAAGCTAAAGAAATAGTCAAAAATGAGAAAAAGAAAAGCTGGGACAAGTTTAGACAAAAAATGGAAGAAAATAGTAAAGAAAATGTAAAACTGTTTTATAGAACACTGAAAAACATACGAAGCAAAGAAGAAATAAAACTAAAACAAATAATGGCCAAAAACGTAACGACATTAATCGATGACACGGATATAATGGAAAGATAGAGAGAACATTTTGAACAACTGTTTGAAATGTTCTTATATCAAAGAGAGCAAGAAAAAGCAAAGGGAAATTAAAACAACGTAATTGGCGGATCAGAGGAAAACATGGAGGAAACAGAAGCTATACAAAAAGAAGAACTAGCTCCTGGGAGCGATGAAGTAAGTCCTGAGATATTGAAATATATAGGAGAAAAGGCAAAGAAAAGATTATTATACATTGCAAATATAGATCAACACAAAATAAAGCAAATAAACATATACAAATACATGGGAACAGTAATAAATAACAAAGGAAGCATCGAGGATGATCTACAACAGACTAGAGAGTACAGGAAAACTATTCCAGGCTCTAAATAGAAGATTTCTCAATAACAAAGAAATGGAAAACAAAACGAATATGACGATTTAAAAAGCAATATATAGACCAATGCTGACATATGGAGCAGATAACTGGATCTCAAACAGAGGACACCAGAGTAGGATAGAAGCAGCAGAGATGAAATACCTCAGAAGAACGATAGGGGCAAGAATGACAGGCAGACTGAAAAATGAAGAAATAAAAACCGTATTCAAACTTAAACTGTTACTTGACACAATAAAGAAAGAAAAATCAGGTTCAGCTACATAACATGAAGGGACAATAGCAGACTAGTTAAAAGAGTGTGGGAAGCTAAATCTATAGGGAAAAGAGAAGAGGCAGACCAATAAAAAAGTGGAAGAACGACATAGAACAGATATTACACAATAAGAGCAACACAATTGGCGAAAAACAGAAAAGCATGGTGAAAAATCATCAAAAAGCTAGAATCACCTCCCTTGACACCTAACAGTAGAAGAAGAACAATGATGTATGTACGTATGTATATAAAAACAATGATAAAATTAATAAATTTATAAAACAATGAATTAGTTAAGATATCTTCTTCTTTATGTGCCGTCTTCTACCGAAGGTTGGCGACCATCATACGATAGGTTTCTCTGTTTTGTGCCGCATGAATTATGTTCGCAGCTTCTGGTATTTGAAACCATTCTCTCAAGTTTCTCAGCCAGGATTTCTTCTTTCTGCTCAAACCTCTTCTACCTTCAATCTTGTCTTCCACGATAAGCTGTAGCAGACTGTACTTATCATTACGGAACACATGGCCCAGGTATGACGCTTTCCTCCTTTTAACAGTTGTTAACAATTCCACCTCTTTACCCATTCGTCTTAATACCTCTGTGTTGGTCACTCTGTCTGTCCAAGGTATTCTCAGTATGCGTCGATACAGCCACATTTCTAGAGCCGCTAACTTCTTTATAGTTGCTGCTGTTAACGTCCACCCTTCTACGCCGTAAAGTAGCGTAGAGAGTACGTAGCATTTCGTGGCGCGCCATCGGAAGTTAATGCTTAGGTTGCGGTTGCTTAAGAGCTTTCTCATTTTGATGAATTTGGATCTTGCTATTTCAATTCGGATCTTAATCTCTACTTCTGGGTCCCACTTGTCATTTACTGTATATCCCAGATATTTAAATATGCAGGTCGATATGTTGAAATTTTTTTTACTGATCACCATAAATTTAGTTTTCTTTCTATTGATCTTCAGTCCAAATCGGCTGCCAGTTGTATTAACTCTATGTAGCATCATCTGTAAATCTTCGATGTTATCGGCCAGTATAATAGTATCATCTGCATATCGAAAATTACTTATTGGTACGCCATTAATCTTGATGCCTCATTGTACTCTTCTAGTGCCTCTAGAAATATTTGTTCCGTGTACAGGTTGAAAAGCAGTGGCGAAAGAATACAGCCCTGTCTTACCCCTCTAGAAATGGTTATGTTTTCACTCACCATATGTCCATTCTTCATGTGGGCTGTTTGATTCCAATATAGATTTTTTATAATCTGGATGTCCTTAGTGTCAAGTCCTGAAAGACGTAATAGTTCTATGAGTTTGTCATGTTTGATAGTATCGAATGCTTTCTCATAGTCGATAAAACAGACGTAAACATCTTTCTGTTGATCCAGGCATAGAATTATAAATGCCATACAGATTTTGAAGAATGTTTAACAAGATATAATAAGAGTATACTTAAACTGTAATAAATCTTATTTAATTACTTTACCTTTAAGCCCTCTTTTATATCTCCAACACTGATTACTTTTCCATTTTCGTTATGTTGAATGACTAACTGTAAGTTATTCAAAGCTATCCTTGCATCCCCATCACTAACATCTGCTAGCCATTTCAAAGCTTCTTCTTCTATAGACAAACTAAAAGATACAATATAAAATTTAATGTAAATTGTAAAATCTCAACAAATTTTTGTTATTTAAGTATCAATCTTTGATGAGAAAACAGTTAAATGTATGATCTAGACTCTCCATTAACATAACAGATTATATTCTTTAGATATGTAACAAGGAGGATACAGGTATAGTATAAAGTCAAGATATACCTAGTGTTTTTGTGTTCTTGACTGGTTACATTTAAAATTTTGGATAATCTTTAATAATAGAGACATCAAGACGATTTTGTATCAAAAATGCTAAGAACCGATTAACCTATATTGCAATATTAATAGGATGTAGCATATGTTTCTAATAAATTCCACAGTGTTTCAAATTAAGATGAAAACCCCAACTTTATTTTTATACCCTGTATATTGGTCAAATGATGCTATTTGTCAGAAAACATCATACAGTAATTCCTTAGAAAAAGTTTTGGTCCTTTGTGTACATTAATATTAATTCATATCAAATCAGTGTTGGTAGTACAGAATTTTAGAAGTAACAGTAGAAATGTACTTATGATATTTATTGGAGCTATATTAAAATTTATAAAGCCAAATACAATTAACCAAAAAAATTGGGCTATATGAAAACAAAAGAGATTATGAGATATTTTTGTACATAAGGGGATGAGCTATCCCAACAAATAAACATTAAAAAAGACCTGCAACAAGATTTCATGTTGTCACCAACAATGTTTATAGTTGTCATAGTGGTTGATAATGATACTCACATACAGTAGGCAAAACAACAGGTATACAGTAAAATGAATTTTTATATGGTCCCAGCTGTTAGAGTTGGGGATCAGTCAACAGACGATATAAAGATAAGAAGAGGTGTACGACCGGGATGTATATTGTCACCATTATTGTTCAATACATATTCAGAGCACATTATGAAGCTAGCGCTAACAGACATAGACGAGGGAATACTTATAAATGGAGAATGATTGAACAACTTAAGATACACTGATGATACTGTCATTTTTGCAGACAGTCTTGAAGGTCTGCAGACACTTGTCTCCAGGGTGGCAGAAGTAAGTAGCAGGTTTGGGCTTGATTTTAACATCAAAAAACCAAATACATGGTTATAAGCAAAAATAGGATACCACCTGGTCAATTACTAGTTAACCAACAACCTATAACACAAATCACCCACTTTTGTTATCTGAGTGCAAACTTAAATGAACAGTGGGACCAATCGACGGAAATTAAGATAAGGATCGAGAAGGCAAGATCAGCTTTCGTCAAAATGAAAAAAATCTTTAACAGCCAGGACACAAAATTGGAAATAAAAGTTCATTTACTAAAATGCTTTTATATGGCGTGCAGTCATAGACCTTAACTGAAGCATCACTAAAGAGACTCGAAGCATTTGAGATGTGGTGCTATAGACGCATGTTAAGGATTTCCTGGATAGGCAGAATTACCAACGAAGAAGTACTACATAGAATGGGTAAAGAGCACGAACTAGTCGTAACCATGAAACGTCGCAAACTAGAATACCTGGGCCATATAATGCACAATGAACAACGATATGACCTACTTCAGACCATACTTTTATTTATTTATTTATTTATTTATTAACGGATATACCATTTACATTGGAAGAAAATATAATATATAAAAATTTTCAAAGTAAGCATAACATTGGAAAATAACATAACATAAATAAAAAAGTTTAACAAAAACTAATAATTAACTTGAATACAAACTAATATACTCCATTCGCTCAGCTCAGGCATATTGTGACAGATTCATTGTCGGAAACCTACAACACAACAATTCCTACTTCTCAGTATTAATAGCTCAACTTTTCAAAAGAAGAATTATTCTAAATAGTGGAAGTGTATACTAAACCCATCAAATTTTGGGTGGTATATATTTAAAAAAATATATTTTAGTTGTTATAATTTAACATAACTATTTATTATATGGTGCAGATAAATAAATATTGATTGTCGGTAATTCACAAAGTTCTATTTTATTAACTATTTAGTTTGTTTACTATTAATATTGGCTATGAGTATGTGTGCTTGGTTGTATAGTAATTTCCAGCCTCTTTTAGTCTGTCAAAAGTAACTAACTTCGCAAAAAAATAATTACTAAATTCACTAGACAGTTCGGACTGGGAATAGCGAACCGAGTATATCACACAAATAGCAGTCTCTTTATCACATTTTTAAATTGTTCTAAGGACTGAAAAATAAGTCCAGATCACTTTGGTACCTATTATAGTCTCACCATATGATTAAGAGGCTTGAAGTATTCATAATTAAATTGATGAAATGGTAGATGAAAGAACGAAGTATGCCTAGTTCCATGAAGAGAGTTAAGACCTAATCGATTTAAAAGTTCAGGGCAATTTATCAAATTATTAGCAATTTTGTAAAGGAATATTAAGCAAAAATAATCTTTTCGCCGATTCATAGAAACCATTTTCAAGTGATCAGCTATCATACTATAATTGTATGGGACAGAGAGGTCATGAAAACACTACTGTAATGATAGTGTTTACCAAATTTATGCAGAACACGATCAAGCTTGTCTATAGATGTTTGATAGTTAGGTCCCCATACAACTATTGCATATTCTAGTCTGGAGCGAATGAGCCTGTTAAAAAGAATTGGTAAAACAAAACATGAAAATTGAGAAGTGTTTCTAGTTATAAACCCTAATTGTTTAAATGCACTGTTTACTGTGACCTCCAGATGCTTACGAAATGCTAATTTACAATTAAAATAAACACTTAAATCCTTAACATAGCCTTGTCTAGACAGCTGAGTGTTATCAATGCTATAATTGTAATTTAAAATTGTTTGCTTCCTGTGAAAAGTAATAACACAACACTTATCAATGTTCAATTTTAATTCATTTAGTTTGCACCAATAGCTAAATCTGCTGAAATCCTCTTGTAGCTGAATTTGATTATACTGACAAGTAATGACTTTATAAATTTTTTTGTCATCAGCAAAGTTGAGAAATTTTAAATACTTAATGACTTTCTCAACATCGTTAACAAAGAGGATAGAAAGTAGAGGACCACAAAGTGACCCCTGTGGTACTCCAGAGAGGATGTCAACAGATTGAGACAGCACACCATTTATCTTAATGCTCTGGGTGTTACCCACAAGAAAACTATCATACCAATTAAGCCATTTGCCAGCTATACCAATGGCTCCTAATTTATACTTTAATAATTAATTAATACTTCAAGGTAAAGTGCATGGGAAAAGAGGTCCAGGACGGAGAAGAATATCCAGGCTGCATAACCTGCGAAAATGGTTTAACTTAACCACTACAAGACTTTTCAGGGCAGCAGTCGACAAAGTCAGAATAGCCATGTTGGTGTCCAACATCCGTAAAGGATAGGCACCATAAGAAGAATGGTCCAATTAAGTAAGTAATCATACATATCTTTGAATGAGATATATATACAGAACTTTTTCTTAAGTACATGTTTAACCAGTTGAAATAATAGAAAACAAGTTTTTTTGGACTTTTGACTACTACTACTACTACCAAAGAATATATATAAGTCTATATTCTTTGCTACTACTACTACACAAGTTATAAAATTTTAAGCTAAATGTGCTCAGTTGTTGCAAAAATGAAAGTATGTACATAATTATTTTAAAGCTTTATCTTATATCTCTTATTTTAAATTTATCTTTAATAACTAAAGTACACATTTAATCTGTGACTTAAATTATACAAGTAGAAGCTGACAGATTGATGAATCTTTACCAATGGAAATAAAGAACTACAGGTTTTGAAGAACACTAAAAAATACACATTCATTATTAAAAAGCTGCTTACCTTGATTTATCAAGAGTTTGTGGGTTTGTTAAATGGTTTATTATATGAAGATTAAACTTTATTGCAGCTTGTTTCACAATTTCATATAAAGTATCTGAATCTAATTTGTCCATAACTATAACTCTACATCTACTTAACAAAGCTGAGTTAATGGAAAATGATGGATTCTCTGTAGTAGCTCCCACTAGTGTAATTTCACCCCTTTCTACACTGAGCAACATTGTATCCTGTTGTTTTTTGTTAAATGCATGAATTTCATCCATAAATAAGACTGTTTTCTTACCAAATTTCATTTCATTTTTGGAAATTGTAATTATGTTTTGTACTTCTTTAACACCAGTACTTGCTGCACAAAGGGAACTAAACCTAAGTTTTTTAGAATTTGATTTGCAAATTTCACTTATTACACCAGATAATGAAGTTTTACCACAACCTGGAGGTCCCCAGAGGATCATGTTTGGTATTTCTCCCTTTTCCAGCAAATCTCTTAATACTGTATCTTTTCCCAAAACCTGGTTTTGTCCATAAAAATCATTAAGAGTCTTTGGCTGAATCTGTTTTGCAAGAGGTATGATAAATGACAAATTTGGTTTAAAACTTATGGATGTACTACTACAACTCGCCGAGTTTTCTGTATATTTAACTTGATTTTCTACAAATTGACGTGATAAATTTCTTGGGGATTTTTGTGTAAATGATACTTTTTGTTGACTAACGCTCATCACTGGACTAGGGGATCTTTTACGTTTAGCTAAATCGTCGTCAACACAGTTCAAAAATATGCAACGATTGACATGATTCTCGATTTCATCGGTTGGAAAATCTTTATTACATATTGGACAAGATGTAACTTTATTAGCAGAACTCATTTTTCAAAATAATAATAAACAAAATCACACAACAAATCACCGGCATGTATTTCAGATATTTAACCTTAAAATATCAGTCAAGTATTTCTATAGAATAACCATTAAATACTCTGTTGGGTCTGTTGGTCTAAGATTATTAATTTCTAATTCTACACAAAATGTTTTGTTTTAAAATTAAACACAATAACATCAAAGAAAACTATTATTTTAAATTTAAATAGGAATATAAATATGTCAAGTTGTCAAGGTCATATGATATTTTTCAGCTCGATTAATAACGATTTGATCGTTACAAATCGATTTAATTCAATTAATATTTACCGACAGACAATATTATCACATACCACTGATAAAAAATATATATATTTATTTTCTTATGATCTAATCTAATAAAAGTGTTAAATAAATACAAAGTATTTATTTTTAGATAGGTTTAGTTTACAAAAATATAGTATACTTTTGAAAATATTTAGTAAACATTTCATTAGCCATTACCAACTACTCTAATTTAAATAATTATTGTCTGCTTTAGTGCTTTATAAACAATAATTAGCCACCTATTAGAGGTTAGGCACTATATGGTTGCTTAGATAAATATTATGATTTTCTTGGACAATAACAATGTATTTACAATCTCGATGTGGACATGTTTATCTGTAAAATGTATGTTATAGATTTTGTTATTTCTATTTACATATCTTATCTAATTTAATTTTGTAATTGTATTATTTTGTTGATGTTGGTTCGACTATACCTAAATGTTGCTTGTTAGTATATATTTGATAAATTCATTTTACAAAATCGTAGTCCATCCATATCTATAGGTTTATACCTAAATTATCATTAGTTTAGTTTAGTTTTATAAATTATTCTGAAGTCAGTTTAGCACTCATCAAATATTCTTCCCATTTTTTAATGATTTTATTATTTAAAAATATCAATAAGGCTTTGCCTTATACAATACAAAGAGATAAAAGTCTCTAGAACTTTCTATTCAAGAGTCATATAATGCAAACGAGCCGACGTATGAACAGACAACACGATTTCAATAAGGACCTATTGGATCCTGAATAATTACAACTTAATGAAGAGGTTAATAAATAGCAATTAATTTAATAATCACCTTATCACCAAGTAACTTTAATCAGTGTGTTTTGCCAGTGTTGACTTACTGTGCGGAAACGTTGACCATGACAAGGACAACAGTTCAAAAGATTCGTGTGTGTCAAAGGGCGATGGAGCGTGCTATGTTGGGTGTTTCACCATTTCACTATGAGACAAGATCCCAAATCGCCAGCTACGACAAAGAACAGGAGTGGCTGATGCAGTAGAGAGAGTAGCAACACTGAAATGGAACTGGGCCGGTCACGTGGCTCGAATGACAGATAATAGATGGACAAAGGCGACAAAGCGGATACTAGAATGGAGACCAAGAGAAGATGCCTACCGAAGCAGAGGTCGTCCACCAATACGTTGGACTGACGATCTAAAATGTTATCATAGGAATTGGATGCAAGAGGTACAGGATCGAAATAGATGGAAAATTATGAGGGAGATCTATGTCCAGCAGTGGATAAACGAAGATTGAATGATGATGATGATGATCAAGAAACCTTGTTCTGGGTCTTTTTCTTCTTTATCCGCATTACATGCCCTATACACCTCAGACATGCTATCTTAATATATTTTACGATATCTGATTCCTGATATACTCTATATAGTTAGAAGTTCTACTTTTCGTTCGAATCACCTTTTTCATTACTTTTTGTTAGAGTCCAATTCTCTGACCCATATGTTAGGACTGGTCGTATTATTGTTTTGTAAAGTTTTACCTTTGTATTTCTTGGTATAATTGAGTATTTAAGGAGATTGAACCCAAAATAGCATCTGTTGGCCATGGACATTCTGCGGTAATATTATTTTTAGTGTTAGTGTTAACGAGCGCTTCCAGGTATACAAATTCGGTCATTGCTTCGATCACGTCATTATATATAACAAGTGGCCGTGGGGTTTAAAGTTGCGTGCTTATTTTCATGTACTTCATTGTTGATGTTCAGTATTAAACCCATTTTTGTAGCCAATTCTTTTAGTGCTACATACGCCTCTCGTACAGCGCGCGTTCTCCCAACAATATAGATATCATCAGCATAGGCAAGGATTTGCACTGATTTGTTATATACTGAGGCAGTGGATGTGATTTGTGACGTACGCATTACTTTTTCCAAACCCAAAATGAACAGTAAGTCAGAGAGGGGTCTGCCTGGCGCATCCCGTTATTTATTGTAAAAAGGTTCAGACAGTTTCCCCTAGATTCGTATTCTGCATTTAATCTTATCAACAGTTAGTTTTGTTAAATTTACCAACTAATTTGGTACTGAGAGCTCTTTCATTGCTTTGAACAATTATTTTCTATTTACAGAGTCGTAGGCTGCTTTTTAGTCCATAAATATGTGATCCTATGCCATATTCCAGTGTTTTTTCTAAAATTTGCCTCAGGGCTGCAGCTACGACAATGAATTGTCGATTTACCACCCCTGAAATAAGCCTGGTATTTTCCTACTATTCGTTCTGCATATGGTGCCATAAGGTGGCATATTATTGTGGAAAATATTTTATAAGCTGCATTTAGAAGCGTAATTTCTCTGATGTTAGAGCGTTCAAAGATAACTCTTTTTTAAGTATGGTGTTCCAATCACTGTTGAGTGATTTCTGTGTCTATATTTCTTTTATGTGCTGCTGTAGTGCCATTGTGGTATCGAGGCCACCTTCTTTATATAGTTCAACTGAGAGATTATCTTTTCCGGGGGAGTTGACTCTGGCTAGTTTTTTAACTGCGTCTTTAACTTCAAGAATCGTTGGTGGTTCCTCTTCCTGCTCGTTTATTCCACTTACCATATCTCTTTCGTCTTACTTCTAGCTTTTAAGCACCATAAAATATATTGTAATTTTCTCTCTTCATTTCTGACCCTCGCAGGGAGTGTAGGGATCACTGCAATGTATCTGGTAATTTCTTTTAACTCTAATTCAGCCTTCTACCTTTCCTTGGATAATAAGTCTTTCCATGCTTTCTGTGTCTGCTCTCATACCATGTCGAAAGTATTTTAATTGTTGATGGACTTTGCTAGAGATCCTTTTGCTGACCATTAGCTCATTTAAAATGGAATTATTTGTACTGTGGTCGGTCAACGAAAATCGTAACATTTTTCTCAAAGAGAACATTTCAATAGCGTCTATCTTTCTTCTTTCCGCTTGTTGTAAGGTGCAAGGTTCAGATTCGAATGTCAGTATTGGGAATATTAAGCAGTTGATCCACCTTATTTTTAGAGTTCGTGAAATTTGAAAGTCCTTCCATATTTTCGCCATTTTTCATACGGCGACATTTGCTAGATCACCTCCACGTTTTATTTCTTCCTGTAGTCACCCTATGTTTCTGATCAATGATCCCATATATAAGTAAGAGCTCATAACCTCAACCTAGTTAATTGTGGTTATGTGTGGATGATTGTTATGTAGTCTATCCACTATCATGATCTTTGTTTTTGATATGTTTAACAGCATACCAAATATTTGACTTTCGTTTTCAACCAGTCGTATGAGATTAATTAACTCTTTTTGACTATTTACAAGAAGGGTTATGTCATCTGCAAAACGTGGGTTATTTATTATTTGGCAACTTATTGAGATACTTTTTTCCCATCCTTCAAGCGCTCTTCTCATAATATGCTCCCCATATACATTAAATAATTGTATAGACAGTATAAATATCCTTTTCTGACAACTTGTTCTGGATGGAATTCGTTTGAAAGTCTGTTCCAGTAGTGTGTTCATTTAGTTATAAGCGAAATTAAGTGTTGTGGTACGCCTACTTTTTTTAGTCTTACCATTTGACTGTGTCGAACGCTTTGCGGTAATCTATAAAACAAATGTATAGCGGAATATTAAATTCCCTAGATTTTTCTATTATTTGTCTCATGTTCAGAAGGTGTTCTCGAGTACCTCTGGTTAAATCCAGTTTGCTGTTGGGATATTTCTCTTTGTGGAAAAGTTTTTAGTTTATCATTGATTATGTGTAGCATTATCTTGCTGGCATGTGGGATAAGGGGGATGGTTCTATATTTGCAAAGAATATGAGCAGCTGCAATTGGTAATAAAAGGAAATATAGATGGGAGATGTATGGGTAAAATAATAAATAATCGCTAAGAAATATTAAATAGTTAAATAATGAAAATAATGATAAAAATACTCTATCTTATCCAACCAGTCAAGGATAGTAACGGATGTATATAATACATCCTTAACTGTGTATTTGTTTAATATAATATTTATAACATTCTTATACAGACCTGAATAGATTTCAAGTGTTCAGCTACATAACAAGATGAATCATGTGATGTACAACAGATGAAAGAGCGGTATGTTCATATAAAGCTAGTAGGCAAGAATAATATATAATAATGTCTATCAATAAACTATTTTTCACGCTATTTTTACTAAACCATACCAATAGTACTATACCTAAAAAGATATGGCGCCTACGAGAAGGGAGAAACGAGTATGTTTTCACCAAGCCTGTCCATAGAAGATCTTACTTCAAAAGCGACACTTTTTAATGTAAAACATGTAAAGCAGAAGGTCAAATTGATTGTTTGTATGTAGTGATATTGATCACTCTTACTTATGTATTATTTAATTGTAAGTAATGAACAATAATAAGAAAATATAAGTAAAATATTTTTTTATAACTAACGAAACAGTTGACAATATTTAAAAATTTTAGTACTAAATCAATGTGTTTTCTTACAGACACCTATTATTTTTTTTTTATTTAAAAAATCGGGGTATTTTGTTTTAATTATATCATTTTTATTTTCATTAATAAACCATTCCTATCATGCATATCTTCTACACAAAATAGTTTTGGTACTTCACCATCTACCAGACGTGCCGCAACGTCTATTTTTTTTCTATATAGATAGAAACGGTGTTAAGTTCCATAAATATTACCGTATACGGGTTTCGTAGATACTACCATCATCTGAATAAATTTAACCTAACTAATCGATTCTTTTAAAAAATCGATATCTTGTTTCCATGTTTTGCGTGAATGAGATTGTACACTTGACATTAGATTTTTTATAGCGAGCCCAAAACAGTTTTTGTGGCCCGTTTTCGTATAGCTTTTATGGGACTGGTCAAGGTTGAAGATTTCGGGAGCCGTATAGATCGATTGAGTGCACGAAATTTTATTCATTTGGTTCCTAACAGCGTATACGGTTCACAGTTATTTTTAGGTGAGTGTTTAATCATTTTCCGATCTAATTGTTTGTTATTATGAAATAGGTGGGCGGTAAACTATCAACATTCTTTTGTATTTTTGATATCATATCCAAAAAGTTAGTTTTGCGTGTCAAGAGTTTCATGTCAAAGCTTCCTGAAAATTGTCAGTTGGTTCCTGTATTTTGAAAAAAATAAAATCAATAATTCCAGGTCGGTATGTGCTAAGCTTAAATACCTACTTTTGATAAGTTTGTTAATAATAAGTGTACAGTTTATTTCATTTAAAGTAACGATGTAGTAATTATGGCAAACACTTCCAGTGTCTTGGGAGTAATAACTAAAGATTATCAATATACTTCATCTAATTTAGATAACGACTTACGTCATTATCTACGTCAGATATCGAAGTTGACATAGTTGCCAAAGTATAAAAAAATCCTGACTCCATTTTAAATCAAATAGATTACATAATTATTGCAAAAGCATTACCATCTCTTTACAACGACTATTTAAATTCTTACGTGACATTTTTGAAATAAAACACACTAATTTTGTTCTAAAAAGAACAGATTTTATTAGATAGTTAAAAATATAAAACAAGAGATATTCACTTTAAAATTCAAAATAATGAAGTACAAAAAGTGTCAACACCGCAACTGTCAAATAAGTGTTACCAATTTATGCCAAAATTTTACCTTCGTTCGATTACAGTTACAGTGTGTTCCGAACAAATGTTCTTGATAAAAAACGCTTTATAATGCATTTATACAAATTAAATGAAACATATTATTGTGTATTGCTTCAAGTTAACATTAATAGAAATTTTAAAATATGATTTCTACGCGTATATAATAAAATATGTCTAGTGGCTGTAATGTCAGTGTACTCGGTAAAGTGATTCTAAAAAAGAACACACCTACACCCTAAATATTTTGTTGGTATCATGTGACGTCACAGGCTATGACGCCGATGACGTGCATCGTTATATAAATTAGATGAAGTGTATTTGTATATACCAGGTCTTCTTTTATCTTACCTTGACATTTCTATTTAAAGTATATAAAAAAAGACAGTCAAATAGAGAAGCTATTAAAAATTTGTTAAAAAAAGGTAATGATACGAACTATGATTAAAACCTTTATACTTTCTTCTTAACAATTGGATATGTTTTTTAAAATAGCTAACTTTTTAATCACATTAAGAAAAAAATATTTTTTATAATTATTATATAGAATAGGAGCGCACGTCAAAAATTATCGTTATTTTATTTCATGCGACATTTTCAGCCGAAAATGTCTATACTAGTTTAAATTTTAAGGTTTTTTGGGCCTAAAATTTTAGATTGATGTGTTAAAAAACAAAAACAAAATACAAAAATAAAAAAAATAGTGGGATATCGAAAATTTTTACCTGAAAGGCCGACAAAAATAGGAAATTGCCTTAAGTATTAAAACTTGTGTTAACTGTGTTATTACTCATTAAATAGTTTAAAAATATCTTGTTAAAATTACTATATTGGAGAAGAATGTGACGAATATTAGCCGTAAAACTATATAATGGGACAAACTAAAATATATGTAAAATTCACATAGTTGACAGTTTATTTTTTTTTCTAATTGTGTTTTTTAATGTATTATAGTGGAACCTCGATTATCCGTCAGGGCACCGGACCAAGGGTATGAAGGATAATCGAAAATCCGGTTAACAGAACATTAAAAAAAAATTCATTGTACAACTCTCAAATTTTATTTTTATGTTTTATTTGACAATATAAGAGGGATTTATATTGTTAGTCCAGTCGAATCAATTTGATTTAAAATATTCCGAAATTTTTGTTTGTTTTATTGTTACCTACTTCACATTTTGCAATTTCTTAATCGACGTAAAATGATCAAATCTACCTTATTTGCTTCTTCTTGCCGAGAGTACCACTCGATGAATTGTTGTATGTGCGATGCAGGTTCTCAAATTTTTGTGAGTTGCAATAGCCAACATCGCCACCGTCAAATTCTGTGTCAGTTTCTGAATCAGTTTCGTCCATCTCTGTTGCCATTTCAACGATTTCATCCTCTGATAGCCGTTTGCGTTCTCGTCACAAATTAACCATTTGTTTATGCCATCTTTAGGCAACAAAAACAAAACAGTTGATTCAGCCATAACTTCATTTGTTAACGCATCATGCTCGGCTATCACGGGGCATTTTCATCTTGAGTTGAGTCAGGCCATAATTAATTCCACGCTCTTCTCAGCGTTACTTCCGAATCATCAACCGAAGCATCCACAAGATTGTCGACTGAATGTTATTGTATGCTTTCCAGTATTCTGGCAAAGAATATTCCTATTACATAACAAGGTTTTGAATAATTTTTGCTGTATCTTCTTTTGAATGTTTCAATGACCGATTGATCCATTGGCTGTATCAATGATATTGTATTCGCAGGCAGAAAAGAGCACGTGACATTTTCATCGTCATTTCGCAGCATACCGGCTTCAGGATGGGCAAATGCATTGTCCAAAATGAGAATCGCCTTTGGTGGTGGCAAATTTTTTGCTTGCAAGTATTGTCGAACGTCCGGTATAAAAATCTAAAAACAAGACGTTAGAACAATAAACAAATTTTGGTTTGCAGTACATACCTTTTTGAACCAGTCAACGAATATTTCCTGGGAGATCCATGCATTATGTTGTGCCTAGTAGTTAACGGAAAGCGCGTTCATATTTATTCCCTTAAAACAACGTGTTTTTTTCTGTACCAATCAATATTAAAGGCAGGCAATGGTCACCACTTGCATTTGAACACATCATTGCTATGATTTGTTGCTTTTGTGTTTTAAATCCGGGTGCATATTTTTCAGACAGTGCAGCGAGTGTTTTCGTTGGCAGTGCTTTTAGTTTAAACCAGTTTCATTCGCATTGAACACTTGATCGCGTGTCAAACCATATTTATCAATCATAGCTAACTTTCTTTTATATTCGTCGATTTCAATGCTTGCGGCGCTCAATTTTTTGTCTTCGATTTTCAGTTCTTGTATACCGTGGCAATTTTTGAACTTTTCCAACTAAACGCTGCTTCCTTTGAATGAAGGATCGCCATTCAATTTCATGTTGAAAAACAATGCTTTTCGGCAACTATTGGTCCAGGCAAAGCGACACCTTTGCTTCTTTTTTAAACGAACCACAAATACAGAGTCGTGTCGAGTGATTTATTTGTGGCTTTTTCACTGTCTTACGTTGTTTCACCCGACCATCCAACGATCCCATTTACGAAGCATACTTTTTAATTCCTTCAGCATTTTTTTTAAATCATTGATTGTTCTCGAAACATCATACTTTTTGCTCAATGCGACATCAGAAGCACCTTTCTTTAGTTCTGCAATAATTTCAATTTTTTTTAATTGACAAAACAACACGTTTTATTTTTGATGCTCCAGATGTGAAAGGCTCTATTTTTCCAAACTTTGATCAAACAACTAAGTGACACAATCAATGTTCGAATGTGAATCAAACTGAATTATGGTGACACAAATATATTGACTGTAATAATTATTGTGCTGTACGTTTTTATTTTCGGCTTGCCATTCTAAAAATAGAACTTTAAAAGCACGGTATCATTTATCATTACCTATTTAAATTGAAATTTAATCCAGAGCCCTAAATAAAAACAAAAAAATTTTACATAAAAAAATGAAATGGTGTCATAACTGCCCGTGTACATTTCGACGAATTTCGTTTGGCTTATCGCAATGCGCAAACAAAATGACTAAATGTTTACTTATGTAGTTAATATAATTTATGTATGGACCCTCCGACCCTGACGGTTAACAGATGTGACGGTTAATAGAGAGACGGATAACCGAGGTTCCACTGTACTATGTCATTAGTTAATTACTAATAATATACGTTCAATCAGCAACACAAAACAAAACATACTTACTCTAACAGAACTAATTAATAATAAGATACGGATATAGAACAAATATTTATTTTTAAAACGGAGTAGTAGCATCGCCCTTATACTATATGGTCACTCTAATTCGGTTGGTCATTTACCTACTTGACTAACGATCTGCACTGTACAGAGGTAAATTCATTGTAAATCTGCTCTACTTTGGCTTTTAGTTCGTGTAATGTCCGTTGTGGGTTATTCTTTAGTGTCTTTTTCATTTTATGCTATATTGTTTAACTGTTTCAATGACATTTAAGTCCGTTCTGTTAGAAGAGCAAGAACCACAACGAAGTTCCACAACGGTTGTTTGTAGTTCTGGCCGTTTCGTCCTACTGAAAAATATAATTTCCGCCAACATTTAATTTCACAATACTTGGTAGTAGGCTATTTTACGATATTACGGTATTGCGGCAAATGTTTACGGTATCAACAATAAATTAAAAACATTCTAACCTTGACACTGCCATACAACCCCAAATCATCATGCATTTAGGAAATTTTACGATCCGTTTCAAACAGTCTTTGTGAAAAGCCTCATGCTTATTGCTAATAACTCGTTTACGGTAATCATCAATACATACGCCGAATTCTGATTCTTCACTAAAAATTACTCGGAAACAATCTTCTACCGACCAAAAAAGTTTAGATTGTGTCCATATGAGCCTGGTTTGCTCAGGTAACAGCGTATTTCTTCGTTGACCTTTTTTTTCCAAACTTTTAACAATATTCTCCTATTCCTATCAGAAACTTGTTTTGGGACGATCCGAGCTTATACCCTTTTTATCTAAGATACTTCATGTTTCCTTTATCATCGAATGCCATAGTCGGAGAACTAGTACGTACTCCGATGCACATCGCCCCGCCTTGAATTTTCTTATAGGGTGGTTAACCTGAAAATACCATATAGATACTAAAATACTTATAGTCATTCCTTCTCGGGCTCCCCTCTAGAGCATAGTGCTCTAGAGACTCTGCGTATTGTTTCCTAGACTCTGTGGCTGAGTTTCTTTTCAACTGTACTTTTACTTTACCTTGTCTTTGTCAAGACAAGATAACATCAAGAGAGCG